TATATATATAGATGTAATAATAAATTTTAAAATAGCTATTTCTATAGTCGATATAGTTCGGATTTTTTCGACTATTTTTTGATTAAAATCAAAATCAAACTAAATTTGCTTGATTTTAAAATTCGAAACCAAAACAAACCAAACCAAAAGTATATTGATTTTTTGGTCTATTTGATTCGATTTTTTGGATTTTTATGAACAACCCCTACTCATCATAAAAAGTGATTATCGTATTTTAAGTGTTAGTGTCCGTGAGAATATTCTAAATTAAAGGAAGTATTTTACGCTGAACACAAGACCCAAATTATGTTGTTCTAGCGAGAGCAGACAGCACTTTTCCGATTTCAACAGATTTTTTCTTATAGTTACTAATATATATAAATGGCCAAGGAGGACAAACATAGCATCATATAGCGGTACAAAAAGCACTACAAATTGTATTTTAAACGTGTATGAACGTAATTCTATCTCATGCCTCTGAACCTTTCTATAAGGACACGTGTATGCACATTATGTTAGTAAACGTGTACTGCATTCGCTATATAGAAATTTCAGAGCCGATTCCCAGTCATTACATTCTATTAATTTCTTCTACTCCTCTCAATTCTTCGCACTCTCAAGGTGAGGTCTCAGTCTTGGTATGCTTTTTCTGTAAGTTTTCTTTGTTTATTGCACTTCTTTGCTGTTCTTTAAATATGGATCTTCTCTCATTTCTTTTTCGTAATTGTTTTTGATGTTGGCAATTTATTTGGTGAAATCTTTCTCTGCTTATTATTACTCTTTTGTTGGTAATCACATTTTCGTGGGTGTTAACATAAATCTCTTTTGGATTTTGGCCCATTTCTATTGATTTATGTTTGAATTGTTTAATGATTAAGAATTTATTTGCTATGTGGGTTACAATCTTGTTGCTATACGATTTTATTGACAGTCGCGTTCATGTGTTCTCCTTCTCCTCCTTATTCTTAGTTTCGAGAAATACACTACGCTTTTTTTTCTTTTACAGAAATCTGAATCAACTTAGCAGAGTCAGTCCACTCCTGGTTTCCCCTTCTTCCTGTAGCAACTATCTAAATATTTCTGAATCATGAAGTATAGGTTGCTTCTTTCCTCCCCCATTTCCTATATATTTTACCTGGACCTCCCATAGCAAAGGTGTTTGATGAAAACCCAATGTCTTGACTCAAATAAAATTTTCCTCCTTCTATCTTAGTCCATGTCCAGCTCTTTGACATCCTCGTGGGATCATGCAGGAGATTTTCCTCCTTACCAAGGAAAATTATCGTAGTAGTTAATAGTAATCTCATAAAGGAGGCAACACTGAAAGTTCTCTTCATAGATCATCTCGAGCTTGCCAAGATGGTGGAATAGTGCAGACAAAATATTACTCCAAAATATTTGAACTATAAAGATTGTGAAAATAAAGCTTCGGCCAGATTATAGTTTAGGTTGTATTCAATTGTTACTTATCATGCTGAATTTTTCAACTATTGAGACAGTGAACTCAAGAAATTGACTGTTTCTTATTTTCTTCCAGGATTTTTAAAATTCTCAACCTTTGAATGATTACTAGAAAATGCAAATATCAATCTTTAATTATAGTAGAAAGTGTGTCACAAATACGTTAAATTAAGGTTTCAGCTTTGGTAGCATACTTTAGCTTGGTGAAGATTGTTCAATTTCTTGAAATAGGTTGACTTTAGTTAAAGTATCATCTTGCTTCAATGATCCTCTCAATTTCTCCAGAAGGATGACAAGAATGGTTTGCTTAATGACGGATGGAGAAGCATGGAAAAAGAAGGATGATAATAACATATGATAAGGCTACAATTTAAGGAGGGAGTCTTTAAAGAGCATCAGGGACATATAGAAGTGATCATATATTCTGCTGATACTGATACTGAATGGAGTAACCAATTTGCAAGCAACTATTTTCCAAGATTGATGACATATCATCATGCATCAAAGGATTTCAACAACTCTTGGCTTTTAATTCTTTAGTTTTGTTATGTTTTTGCAGTAAACGAAAAAAATAATTCTACTGCAGAATACTGTGCCCGTGCTGAGAGCACGGGCAGACTCTCTCTAGTAATATATAGTAACTACAATGAAAATTCCTCTGTCAGAAAAAAAAAAATCAAAAAGGAAAACCAATTACTAGTTTAGTAATAAATAAATAAACGAACAGTGTTACATCTATATATTATTAAAAGGAGAGGAAAAAGTCCTCTCCTTAAGTCAAGTGGAAACCTAAAAAAATGCCACATGGCATAATCAGTTATTTAGTTTATAATTAGTTATTGGTTATTATTTTTGAATTTAAATATATATAAAAAACGAAAATAATAAAATAAAATATAAAACTACCATATATATATATATATATATATATATATATATGTATTAATTGGTTACTTTATTTGGATAAATAAATATAGATATCTTATAATTAAATATAATAAAAAAACAAAAAGTAATATGCTAATAAATATTTCTATTAAAAATATAATAATATTAAATATTAGATGATATAATAAAGAAAAATACATAACAAAAAATTTATTCAATGCACTCCATATAATATATATATTAATTGGTTACTTTATTTGGATTAATAAATATAGATATCTTATAATTAAATATAAAAAAATAAAAAATAAATATATAAAAAATAACTACCTATTCAAATTGGGTGGGAGTAGTTTCATGTTGGAGTTTTTAAATTATTTTAAACTAAAAGGCAAAAAAAATAGCTATCAAAATGAAAAAAGAGAAGAACTACCCATTCAAATCGGGAAGTAGTTTCAAGTTTGAGTTTTAAAATAATTTTAAAATAAAAATTATCTATATCTATATATCTATCTATATATTATTAAAAGGAGAGGAAAAAGCCCTCTCCTTAAGCCAAGTGGCAGCCTAAAAAAATGCCACATGGAATAATTGGTTACTAATTAGTTATTTAGTTTATAATATATATAATAAGAGAGTCAAAGAAATCTATATCATCTATATATATATATA